GGGGGGGAGTACTACTAGCCGTGTGTAGTGGCTTACTCCACAAGGAGCAGGGCTAAGCTGATAAAGGGACAGGGTGATACGGGCAATAGCTTATTGGGCAAAAGGCCAGGTCAGCCTTCAGGGCGCTGGCCCATTCTTCAACAGGATGAGCCAGCAGCCCGGCACGCAAAGACCCAATTTAAGAGTGACTCTTTCTGGATGTGTGCTCAGTCATGAAAAGACTAGCACACTTTTTGCCTTTTGATGAAGGATATAAGATCAACAGTGGTGTGCCATCAGTGCAGCAAAGATTATACAGAATACACCGCCTTCTTGTTGTAAACAGAGGACGCTAAACATTGCAGAGCTGATTGGAGGAGAGTAGTACAGCGTGAGTGATGCAGACGAGAGGATGACGGCTGTAATGTATTGCTGGGTTAATCCCCGTGAATCCCAACTGGTACGGCCTAAGGAAGGCTTAGTATAGTTCTGGGAGGAAATCCCCCTGTGAAGTGGTACAGGCCATTAGTCCCTTGGGTATAAATAGGGCAGCTATGGCTCCTTAAGCTGGCTTTTACGCAATATCAGTTAAAAATATGACTTGACTAATTACATGCAGGTCAGCCAGTCAGCAGAAGCAAAGAAAAAAAATCTCCTCCTCTTCCTCTGACCAGACTGCTGCAGAGTCTCTCTTCTTCTACACACGTGCATGCGCTGCACATGCGAGTGTGCACGCAGAGGTCAGCAGGGAGCAAGTGGAAACGGTTAACAGGTATTCTGCAAACCTTGTGGGTGACATTTACTAAGGCGGGTTGCTTGTCGTTGTCATTCATTGACATTTAGGTGTCTACTGATGAGGAGTTTCATTTTTGCACTTTTCCACTGCCTCAATCTCTTCTGCGGCATTTGCACCAGCTGCATCTTCAACCACAAAGAGATGACTTGGGTTTCATTTCGTAGGCTTCATAAGCATCACAAAGTAAAAAAAAAAAAACATAAACATGACACAAACATCACAAACAAGAGTGCCACTATTGGTTAGGCGACAGCAATTCTTACGCAACTGTAGTGATGTCACATTCTGCTGATGCACAGTCATGCTTTTGTGTTTCCAACCTTGCAGCTCACTAGTTTTGTCTGAACTAGTTTCCCCTGCTTTTTAACGCGCTCGTCCCACAGGTGACAGTCCCTCTCGCTAGCTTGTGACATGATTAGGACAAACTCCTAGCGCTTGATGCGAGTGGTACTCTCACGCTATGAGATTAGTGGCTTACAACTGGGGGGAGAGAGAGAGAGAGAGAGAGAGAGAGAGAGAGAGAGAGAGAGAGAG